AGCAGCCAGATGTCTCTACAATTTGTCATTTCTGGCCACATACTCTGTTATTTAGGTACTCTTCTTTGTTCAGCTACGATACCATGTCTATTAAACCATTTGTAGTCTGGAGAAACTATAATTGTGATGTTCTTGGCATGCAAAATGAAAGACACTGGGAGATTGAAAACTGGAGATAAAGGAGCACTTAAATGTCACTGTAGGTCTTTAACTTTTTTTTTTAATAAAAAGAGATAATAAATTTTTAAAAACTTTAATTTTATATAAATTGCCTATTACCAGTGTGAGTGCTCTGATGAAAGATTATTAAACTATCCATTAAGCTGGCATACAGAGCTAAAGGGAAGGGATTTAGAGGATTGGAGAAGCAGTTAACCTTCTCCCCAGTTTAATGGCATTGTCTGTAAGGATCAGGTGGCGCATCTTCTCTCCGGCTTGTACTCCTGGACCAAGACCTGCAGCTCCCAGCTTTTAAGACTCCATCATGGCACAGGCTTGAGCACTTCATGATGTCATAGAAAACCACAGAGGCATCTTGAATGTTAAATGTACTAGGTGTCTGGTTTTTATTGAACATGATTTATTCTGAGGCTGCTCTGATACTCTTAGCACATAATCTGAGTGATTACAAAACAGATGGAGAAGGAAATGGCAACCTACTCCAGTATTCTTGCCTGGAAAATCCTATGGACAGAGGAGCCTGGCAGGCTATAGTCCATGGGGTTGCAAAAGAGTGAGACACAACTTATCAACTAAACAACAACAACAATGGGTGCTACACTTAGGTAGCAGAGGAGGCCAAGTGCTTCCAAGTTGCTCCTCTGTGTGAGGCTGGTGACCTTTGTTGAGGCTACAGGCAAGCACATTTCACCTTTGCTTTTCTCACCTCTCCCATTTGTAGCCATCCCTCTTCAACCATCTCATAGCTTTTACCCTGTCATACTGTTTGTAAGCACACAGTAAATTCATTTACACTAAGCTACAATAACACATGGGCTTCCGCAGTGGCTCAGCAGTAAGGAATCCTCCTGTAATGCAGGAGCCACAGGAGACGCAGATTCGATCCCTGGATCTGGAAGATCCCCTGGAAGAGGGCATGGCAACCCACTCCACAGTAATTCCATGGACAGAGGAGTCTGGTGGGCTACAGTCCATAGGGTCACAAGGAGTCAGACATGACTGAAGGAACTTAGCACGCACGCACGCACAATGACACATAATCCCTTATGTGAGTCTGGCCTTTTTGTAGTGATGTCACTTGTAGGAAGCTTATTTCATTCTCATTATAGCCCTAAGGAGTGGGGAAGTTAGAGACTGGTCTCATTTTGTTGTTGTTGTTGTTCAGTTGCCCAGTCCTGTCTGACTCGTTGCGACCCCAAGGACTGCAGCAGGCCAGGCCTCCCTGTCCCTCACCATCTCTTGGAGTTTGCCCAAGTTCATATTCATTGCATCAATGATGCCATCCAGCCATCTCATCCTCTGATGCCCTCTTCTCCTTCTGTCCTCAGTCTTTCCCAGCATTAGGTGCTTTTTCAATGCATCATCTGTTCACATCAGATGACCAGAATACTGGAGCTTCAGCTTCAGCATCAGTCCTTCCAGTGAACATTGAGGGTTGATCTCCCTTAAGATTGCCTGGTTTGATCCCCTTGCTGTCCAAGGGACCCTCAGGAGTCCAGCACCACAGTTCGAAGGCATCAATTCTTTGGCGTTCTGCCTTCTTTACAGTCCAGCTCCCACAACCATACGTGACCACTGGGAAGACTATAGCCTTGACTATACGGACATTTGTCAGCAGAGTAGTGTCTCTGCTTTTCAACACAGTCTAGGTTTTTTCATTGCTTTCCTGCCAAGAAGGAGTTGTCTTCTGATCTCATGGCTGCCGTCACCATCCGCAGTGATTCTGGAGTCCAAGAAGAGAAAATCTGTCACTGCTTCCACCTTTTCCCTTTCTATTTGCCATGCAGTAATGGGGCTGGACGCCATGACTTGGTTTTCTTTAGTATTTAGTCTTAAGACAGCTCTTTTACTCTCCTCCTTCACCCTTGTCAAGAGGCTCTTTAACTCCTTTTCGCTTTCTGCCATTAGAGTGGCATCATCCACATATCAGAGGTTGTTGATGTTTCTCCCACCTATCTTGATTCCAGTTTGTAACTCATCCAGCCTGGCATTTCTCCTGATGTGCTCAGCGTATAGGTTAAACAAACAGGGTGACAGCAGACAGCCATGTCATACGCCTTTCTCAATCTTGAACCAATCAGTTGTTCCATACAGGGTTCTACTTGTTGCCTCTTGACCCACATACAGATTTCTCAGGAGACAGGTAAGCTGGTCTGGTATTCCCATCTTTGTAAGAGCTTTCCACAATTTGTCATAATCCACACAGTGAAAGACTTCAGTGTAGTTGATGAAACAGAGATGGATTTTTTTTTCTGAAATTCTCATTTTATAGAGAAGGAACAAAGGTTCAGGGAATATGAGCAGCCACTAGAGTCTCACTCAGGGGAGAACTTAACCAGGAGACCTGAGCACAGGTTTCTTTCCGCCACCCAGTTCCACATATTACCGCAGTATTTGCATTTTGACAGGAATCCTGTGCTGAAGGCAGGTAACCACTTAACTGAGGGCTTCAGACATCAACCCAGAGAGAGAAAACTGATTTTTTCAGTGAAGCCCTGAGTTATGCAACATAAGTCACTGCCTTTGCCTCCACATTGCCTGTCCGTTGTGTGATCACAGGCAAGTTACAGAAAATTGTCTGTGCTGCACTTCTCCTGTTTGTGAAATGGAAATAGCTGTATCTGCCTCATAGGATTTTTCTGACAATTTCCTGAAATACCACCTTCCTAAGTATGTGACGATATTCTTGTCACATAGCAGGTCTCATCAAACCTCATCTACTCTTTCCCTTTGCTTCCCCATTTTGCCAACATACAAGGCAGGCCATGCAAAGCCAGAACCCTGAGCTCACCCAGGCCCTGCAAAGACCCTTCTGAGCACCTCCTCTTCACTTGTGCCCTCAGCCCTTTCTCCTGTCCCCTCAGTTCCTGCGTCCAGCCACACCAACCTTTCTTCCCTTCTCAAACCAGCTGCCCATTTTTCCTCCACACTGCACGCTGGGTCCTCCGGCTGAAGCCCACCTCCTTGCCCTCCTGCCCTCCTCTGTCCTCACGCTCCAGGTATAAGCCAAGTCCCTTCTTTAGGAAGGACTGAAGTAGCTTCCCCCTATTGTTCTTCCCCACTGCACTTTTCCTTTCCTTCTGTTATTACAGTCTGAAGGTACTTGCGACTCCTACATTTACTGGCGGTGTTTCTCTCTTCTCCAGTAGACTGTCACCTCCCATGTTGGCCACAGGCTCTGGGGCACCCAGGGCAGAATGTAGCTCATAAGTTGTTTCCAATAAATATTTGTGGACTGTGTGTTGGATGAATGCTTCTTTTCCCTCTCCCTCTTGGGATGCCCTCCTACAGCCTCCTCACCAAGTCATGCACTTCCTCAAAGGCACATACCTGAACATTCCCTCCATTTTCCCCAACATTTATTCATACATTATTGTGAGTGAGGTATTTCATGATTCCTTAATCACATTACTAATTTTCCAAGGGCTAAGACTCATTCAAGATCTTTTTTGGAATTCCCCATAAACCTGGTAGAAAAGCTGGGAAGGCTATCAGTGCTCAGTATTTCTTGATGAATGAATAAATCAAGCAGTCAATCCAGGTATAATCCTTTTGCACAAAGAAAATCTTCACTTAGCAAATACAGAGAGACTATTGCAGCAAAACAGTTTCTCACCATGACACATTGCTGTAGTCCCTCTTCTGGGGTTACTATTTTGAGTTTCAGTGAGAAGCAAACAATCTTATCTTGAAAAGGGAATTGGATTTATTTTTAATAAGAAAGCCTGAATTGGAAGCTTGAATTTTTCCCCAAAATTTAATAACAGCACTGATAAAGCCTTACTCTCCTCAGCCAGCCCTGTTTCAGATATAAGAAAACAAAGCTTCCATGTAAGCTCCTGTCTTGGTGTTAGAGCAAGACCTGTAAGACCAACCATATTTAAATTCATTGAGAGCCATGAGGGGGTCACGTAGCAGGGGCTTCTAGTCTGAGCATGATTTTAGAATCTGTCACTCCAAACCAGGTCTGGGCAGAGGCAATGAAGGGAAACATCAAGTTACTTGGAGCCACTGTCCCCAAACATTTGAGGTCCTGACAGTTCCCACTGATAACCTCAGTAAGTAAAGACAAAGCTTCTTAAATTTTTTTTTTTATTTTTAAAAAAATTTTGGCTGTACCACTCAGCCTGTGGGGTCCCAGTTTTCCAACCAGGGATCGAACCTGCACCCCTTGCATCGGAAACACAGAGTCCTGACTGGACTGCCAGGGAAGTCCTAAGACATAGCTTTTGATCTCACCCTCTTCCTCCTTTCACAACTGAAAAAAAAACAAAAAACATGTCAGTAAAACATGTCATTGTTATGCCCCAAATGATAACTTACTGAGGGAGGATCCCAATTTCCACATTCATCCCACTATACCAAAATAGAACCTTCAGTTCCCTGGTTGCCCTGCTGCTCAACCTCAGGTTGTTCAGTTGCTCATTTTATCAATATTTTTGAATGATTAACAACAACTATATATATGTATATGTATATGTATATATATATATATATATATAATGATTTTTGCATTTTAACTTACTTTGACAATTGCCCCAGCAAGTCCTTCTAGTTAGTATCTTGCCTCTAGTTTAGTTTTGATTTTAAAACACAGGCCAAGAGAAGGAAAGTAAGTTTTGCCAAAATACCTGTTGTCCCATGAACATTGTTGAGGTTGATGCGGCATCTGCTCTTTGTGTGACATCACTCAATCCCTGTATTCCCACCCCTGCAGGGCTTTGTGACAGTCCACAGAGCCAGGAAGAGATGACTTCTGATGAGTCCCCTTCTATCCCCATCTCTCAGGCTGCAGGAGTCCTGAAGTTTGATGGAGGGCCATGCTATTCAAACAGCAGGCGTGGCTGAGACAGAAGCTCCTGGTGCTGGGAAGCCTTGCCGTTGGAAGTCTCCTGTATCTAGTCGCCAGAGTTGGGAGCTTGGATAGGTAGGTGATTAAACACATACTCATGCCCATGTGACTTTACATGTCTCTTGATTTAAACTTCCTTAGGACATAATTTTAAATCTATCCATTTGTTTTCCTCTCTCAACATTCCCAGGAAACATATTTTTCTGCAGCATTGATTTTGATTTATTGAGCCTTTCAAAGAAAGAGATCCAAGTTGCTCAAACCAAGGTGTTCATCAAGATTCATTTGTATTCTGTGTGTGTTGATGTTTGTTTTCAGAGAAGGGATAAAGCCATGTACAGTAAAAATGTCATTAACTAGAGCTCTGTGTGCATCTGGATGTTGACCTCTAGCTGTAGCAAAATAGTGATGATGTATTTATGTATCTACATTTTGATATTTATAAGTGGACAATTAATGTGCTACCAAGAGAGTTAAAATTATGTATGAGCCTGTAAAGGAGCTCATCAAATTTGGAATCCATTGCCCCGGAAAGATGACTGCAGGCTTGGGGCATTTTAACTGTTAATTAGCTCTGGTTTCTAGGAACTGAACATACTGGACAAGGAGGCTGTCACTCAGAGTAATTCAATTCCCAGAAAGCAATGGAAAATCCATGGAGAGGAAATTTACAGAGCTAGGGTTTGGCTCTAAATAAGCCAACATTGAAAGGCACCAGACCTGCGGAAGTCCCGGCAATGTCAGCTAGCTTCACATTGAATGCTTCTGGATTGTCCCACTTCTGGGATGATTGGAAAGGACACAGAAGTTAATTTCTGAAATGTGAAGCTTCCTTCTTTGCCCTTTAAAATTAATTCTTGCACTTAAAAGACAATTCAGTTCCCATTTCATGTCCAACTCTTTGCGACCCCATGGACTTCTCTAGACCACAATACTGGAGTGGGTAGACTTTCCCTTTTCCAGGGGATCTTCCCAACCCAGGGATCGAACCCAATTCTCCCGCATTGCAAGCAGATTCTTTACCAGCTGAGCCACAAAGGAAGCCCTGTGAAAGTGCAGCCACACATTAAAATAAAAACATCTTCCTGACAATTTTTCTTCTCTATAGATCTTATCACACAAATATTTAACAAGTAATAATGGTTTTTTCCTTCAGCCAGTGCTAATTTTGATTGATAAAATGAGCCCTTTGATGTTTTTCAATTCAAAATTCCTGAGTAAACTTCCTATTCACTAGTTGCTAACCATGGGAAATGATATAGCCCAGAGCTTATCACTGACTCCTAAAGTAGTGCTTGTTGTTAGTGAAAAGCCTTGACAGGGTGCCATTGTCCTGTGTCCATCATGGAACTTTTATATCAAGTTCTTCCTAATATTTTAATTTTTTTCTAATCATTTGCTTTTAATAATTGACCTAATGATCATTCGCACGTGAGTCATTTAGTTGATAATTTTCATTTTTAACCTGGTCTCGAGTCTCTAATGAGCAGCTTTTATAAGGACTTGGATTGCTTTGCTTTCTTAAAACCTCTCACTTGCAAGTCTGAGCAGAAACTGGCACATGTTGACATAAGTTTGTCCTTAGAAACTGAAAAGCCTGCTCTCTTGGTAAGAGGCTGAACTCAGTTACTTCTACTGTCCTTTCCAATCCTAAAATTTCTGATTTTGCAGTCTGGGGTCCATGCCTGCTCTCTAGGAATCAGAAATAATATGATATTTTCTCTTATCTTGAATAAGGGAACCCAAAAAGCAATCGTCCGGTGGGGAATGAGCTCCCATGATAGAAGGTAAATAAAGGAAAGAAAGAAAATGGCCTTTTCTAGATATAGGAAAATTTCTTTCCAGCTCAAACAAGGCAGAGAGTGTTTCAGGCTCTCTCAACCTGGGTCTGTGAGAGAATCAAGTCTGACAGGAAAGCATTTGATTGACCTTAAACTTCCTTACTTCTCCCAAGGACAGCATCATCCAAGATGCCTGGGAGAAAAGTCCATCTATTACATTCAACGGATGGCTTGCGGAATTTGGATTTAATTCTCAACTAGAGCCCAGCAAGACCTAAAACATGAATTTGTAACATCCCAATCAATGTCACAATTAAAAACATACTTTGAGTATATATGTATTGCTACTTTTATATCTTCCACTTAGAGCTCTAGCATATCAACCCTATTAACAGATTTATAAAAACAAAATTCATTTTCTCTAAAATATTAGCTGATAAACCATGTTTTTAATAGTGTGCTATATGTTCATGCTTTACACAATGAGCAAAAGTTGTTTATAAGATCATAACAAAAACTCACTGAAAAATAGAATATGTTCATAAGCATCAAAACAGAGAGCTGCTTCAACAGCACAGGTGAAGCCCCTTCCCTCAGTTCTGCAGAATCCCTTGGTATAACTTTAAGGTTTCTCCCTTCTCCTTTTAATTGTAAACATTACAGAATATAAAAAAGATTCAGTGGGGTCTCTTGGGAAAAGCAAGAGACAGCCTCATTGCCCTACAGAGAGGAGGAGATCAACTCCAAATTATTAGGGTAACAAGAAGCTTCAGTTGGAGGAACTGGTTTAACAGCCGTTTTGACTAACACTATACCCTTTAATAAGAAAGTGAAAATGCCTTCTCAAGTAAACTCAGGAAAATTATAATGAATTTCAGTTCAATTCTAGACTATCCCCAAAAGGAAATTCAATTTACTAACCATATAAATTTGCCACACCAAATTAAATAGCCACTCCAGTCTAATATTGTGATTGTTACCACACCTTTCTCTCTGAAAAAAAGCAGCAGTGGTTGTTCCTTGCTTAGGGCAATGTTGAAGTGGAAATCCTCTTTTCTGGCTTCATCCAATGCCTTCCTTCCTTCACAAATTTGAGTCCCTGATTTAAGTGCACTTGGCAATGAGGACCTCAGGTTTCTGGGGCTGCCAAGGACTTGTTGATTTCTGATCCCAGGTGTGATAGGTGATATACAGCACTTGCTGATTGCATTGGATTTGCTCCTACATTCAGCAAAGTAAAAACATAAGCCTGACCTTTTTAGAAAGAAAGAGAGAGAGAGGCAGAAGAAATATGTACTCTGCTAGCTGTCCCCAGGGCCAAAGGCAGAAATTCTCATAGAATGTAAAGCTCAGCAAGTGCCAAGATTGGAATTTTGCAGGTTGATGATGCAAATAGTCAAGAGCAGAAACTGGGACCTCTTTTCAGAGTCTGTCTCAAAGGTTTTCAGAGTCATATGAGGGCAGCTGAGCTGTAATAAAATAATGCCACAGGAAACCCACAGGCCGTGGCCTCCTAGCTGCGCTTTAGCCCCCCAGCCGACGATTCTCATCTTCCATCTTTCATATTTTCTAAATGATCTTAACTGGTGAGCTGTTAAAAGGCTATTAGTATGGCTGGTGTCACTTGTCTGTCCTGTATTGTGAATGTCAGTACACGCTGTAGTCAATTAAGTGCTTGGTGAATAAAAATTTTAAGAAGCACTAATAAAAATATCCCATCAATTATGTGTGCTCCATTTAATACAGGGTTGCTTAAAATAAAATTTCCCAAACATATGTTGATTATAGATTGCAGCAGGCAGGGAACAGTGGTTTTATTTATGCATTTAAAGTCTTGCTCTGACTGGAGAACCAGAGAAATGAGAAGTTAGTTGCAATGAGCTCCTTAGAGTGTCTCTCTGTTGCTTACAGGCTACAACCCATCTGCCCCATCGAAGGCCGATTCGGAGCCCGTGGCCAGGCTGAAATCCCCCTGCGCGCCCTACAGTTTAAGCGTGGCCTGCTGCACGAGTTCCGGAAGGGCAACTCTTCCAAGGAGCAGGTACACCTTCATGACCTGGTCCAGCAACTTCCCAAGGCCATTATCATTGGAGTGAGGAAAGGAGGCACCAGGGCCCTGCTTGAGATGCTGAACCTCCATCCAGCAGTGGTCAAAGCCTCTCAAGAAATCCACTTTTTTGACAATGATGAGAATTATGCCAAGGGCATTGAGTGGTATAGGAAAAAGATGCCTTTTTCCTACCCTCAGCAAATCACAATTGAAAAGAGTCCAGCATATTTTATCACGGAGGAGGTTCCGGAAAGGATTTACAAAATGAACTCATCCATCAAGTTGTTGATCATTGTCAGGGAGCCAACCACAAGAGCTATTTCTGATTACACTCAGGTGCTAGAGGGGAAGGAGAGGAAGAATAAAACTTATTACAAGTTTGAGAAGCTGGCCATAGACCCTAATACCTGCGAAGTGAATACAAAATACAAGGCAGTAAGAACCAGCATCTACACCAAACATCTGGAAAGGTGGTTGAAGTACTTTCCAATTGAGCAATTCCACATTGTTGATGGAGATCGCCTCATCACGGAACCCCTACCAGAACTTCAACTTGTGGAGAAGTTCCTAAATCTTCCCCCAAGGATAAGTCAATACAATTTGTATTTCAATGCTACCAGAGGGTTTTACTGCTTGCGATTTAACATTATCTTTAACAAGTGCCTGGCGGGCAGCAAGGGGCGCATTCATCCAGAGGTGGACCCCTCTGTCATTACCAAATTGCGCAAATTCTTTCACCCTTTCAATCAAAAATTTTACCAGATCACTGGGAGGACATTGAACTGGCCCTAAAATAATACGTCATACAACACTGTGTGTTGTGCCTGGAGACAGACAATGTCTCTTCTAGATTAAAATATGCACTTTTCCTAGACACAACTGTCCACGTCATTTTTCCATGTATACTTGTACATATGCAGTGTGTGACCAAATATAAGATCAGCTCTTTTTCTACTGAAAATTTACAAAATCAAAACAAAACAAAACACCAATTTGCAGTCTACATAGTTGCATCTTTTATGCTATTTACAAAAAGAAGAGGTGGTGGTACTGGGAAAAAGTGACTTCAGCTATTCTCAAAGAGTTAGTCTTCCTTCGAGTCAGGATTTGTCACCTGCCATTTTCATAGATTTAAGCCAAAAGATGAACATGTGAAAATGTACCAATGGCTGTGAAGTTTCAGGAAGTAGAGGATTCAGTTATGCATACTTTTCTAAGGGAAAGCTGACTCTTTAATTCAGTTGCTGAATTGATGCCATGAAAACAGAAAATACTATTTTCTTATTATTTAAAAGAATGTCTTAGCTCATAAAATTGACATCATTCCAAAGTTCCCGTGGTGATTTTGCACTATTGTTTTCTCGTATGGACCATGGTGTCACTTGTAGCATGTCAATCACACGTCGGAAAGTTGAGTCCTTTTGCTTCCATGTTCTATGTCAACAAAGAGAAATGTCATGTACATATTGTATATAGTTGTAAATACTGCTTTCACACTAAGTAATTCTATTTTGTAAACTGAATATGGCTATTTAATTTATTGTGGAAATTAAATTTATTGTGGTATTTAAAAAATGGAATGGATTAAAAGTACTCTATGTGCAATTTTTTTTACTCATTTGTCTTACATGCCCCTTGCTGGCTCCCAAAGTCAAAGCTGTTTATGTACACACAAGAGCACTTGCAAAGATGCCCTTCTCCACTGAGTTTCTGTACCCTTGTGACAATGCAGTTATGAAGTCAGGTTGACTATATTTTAAAAAATATCTCAACCATCCAGAAATCTAGTATAGAAGCCACCACAAAGAGCAGTAGTGCTTCTCTGCTACAACTTTTAACAATTAAAAAAATTGCTTCTGGTGCTGGGAGACACAAGAAATACTTTAACATAATCAAAGCATAGAAGAATCACAGTTTTATTTGAACCCAGTTAGACCAATAGAGAAATTAAATTAGATTAGAAAATTTGTGTAGCCTCTATACTGAAAGCTGCCAAAGCTTCAAAAATAAATACGAACTCTCAGAGCTCCCTCTTTAAGATAAAACTACATCAGCCTGCTCAAAAGTGATCAAATTACATAGTATTGCTATTACTAACATAAACATATGGCTCCGATTTCCATCCAGAGAAGTTAATGCTAAATTGGGTGCTTGCTAACATCAGATACCCTGTCTTATGCTTAAATATAATGCAGAAAACCTTGGAAAGAGGTATCAACCAAAAAAAGAGAGAGAGAAAGAGATGGATTTTTCACAATCATGGTTGCTTATCCAGTGGAAGATATTTGAAGGAGTTTTGTTCACATTGACAGTGCCTAGTAAATTACAATGGATTCCTTTTTGATTGTACTAAGTGTTGATTTGCTCCATGAATTGTTCATCCTGTCCAGTAATTTGACGGTGAACTTTTCTAAATAGCCCTTTCCCCTTCAGTGTTGATATATATTTTTCTCAAGCTACAGCCTTGGTAATCATCTCTGCCGTTTCAATTAGCAGTGATGTTGTTTTCTCAGCATGGAATAGGCATGACACCAGCACACACTGACAGTCCAGCTTCTCACTCACTGTTCAGTGACTCTGAAAAGAGAGAGTCTTGTGTCTGAATGTCAGTCATTCTCCTTTAAGGGGTGAATGTAATCAAATATAAGGAACATAGCATCAGATTTCCCTATGCCTCAACTCCCAGCTAACCATCAGAATAAACTGTGTTAATACCACACTCAAGATAATCACACATTATCATTAGTTTTATTATAACTCTTCCCAGAGCACCATATAGTTCATACAATTTTATACCATTATGTCAAAGTATGCCCCACTGGAACACTGATATTTCAGAAACTCAGCCTAGGTGTTCCACCAGTAAAATAAGAAAATGGCATTCTTTTCCTGAACTCACAGAAATTTTTTAAAGTAATGAATAGAAATTTTTCAGTGACAATCTTTTATAGTCCAAATTTGTCCCCAACTTTGGTGCTGCTACCGACAGTGTATATCAGAGTTGATTATAAGATTCTATTTGACTTGAGCTGACTTTTATAATTTGTTGTTTTTAGCTCAGGAAGCAAGTATTTCTTCATCACACACAGGATAAAAAGTGCTGCAATTTACAGTTGTTAAATAACTGAGAATTGTTTTAAACCTGGGAGCCTCCTCACAGAGATCTAAAACAGGAGACTTGGCCTAGAAGGATGTTTGTAGAGGCAGGTTTCATTTCACTAAAAAAAAACAAAAAACAAAAAGAGAAACAGCCAGAGCCACTGCTGACTGAACTAGGTAGAAATAAAAATCCTATGACTTAAGAGCATATTTCCACTGGAGGCTTCAAACCTTCATGTTTAAGAAAATGCTTCCTGTTGTCATCAAACTGGCAACCAACCTCTCGGGACATCTACAGCTCATTACAATAGATCCACTAGGATTCTCTTTAATAAGTTATTCCTTTTATATTATGAAAACTTTGCATTTCCTCTGGAGGCTTGGTGGCACCGTACAGTTTTGTAAAACAATTCAAACTGCAAAGAGGAAAAAAAACTGTTTAAACAATGGTGAAGTCTCTGCTGGATTATAAAGTTAAAACTACATCATTTTGGAAGCCAGGGAATTCCAATTATAATTGTACAAATGGGAACAAGAGTCCCAGGGGAGTGAGAGAGACCAGAGAAGAGAGAGAAAAAGAGACATGCAAACCCTTAGACAGACATCAAATTCCTGAAAATCATCTTACAAAACCCCTCAGCTGATGAAGGCACTAATTTTTTTTCTACTCATTGCACTGTAGCGTAGAAAGAAATCTAAGACATCGGGGTCTTTAGCTAATCTATGGTAAAACAAATCATGTAAACCCATCATAAACCCCTCTGATCTTAGATTTGGTACCTTTTATGGTGATGGACCAGTTTGCCAGAATGCTAAAACTGATGGAGCCTCATGAGAGCACTGCTCGGGGTCCTGCCCTTGGAATGAGGGCCCTCCTGGAGGACAAGCTCCAGGACCCGTGGAGGACTCCTAGGATGCTACTAAGAGAAGGTAAGAGCCAAGGACAAGTGCAGCCCAAGTTCCAGCCCCGCCAGTAAGATTGTGCTCTGTCCAATTAGCAGCCTACTAAATTGGATTGCTTTCATAAGCCTAATTTGAGAATTTTCCAGGGATGGAGAATTTCAAATGATCATAAGTAGTGTCTTCCTGCTGAAGTCTTTTGTACTCTTCTCACACACTCAGCAACCATTTTCTACTTAGGAGAACCGACTACAGTCTTAAGCAAAAAAGAAAACTTTGCTGAGAACGTTCTCCCTAAAAATAACTAAATACAGCAGAAATCTTAGCAATTTGGGCTAGCAAGGTGAAATTATAGAATATTGTAAAGCAAATTCTTTACATGGCACTGCCCCAAAGTGCCAAACTATACTAACAATGCATTGATAAATATATATCTAATTGCACTTGATTTACAAATAAAAGCCTCTTCATTGGCATATTTTTTTCCTAACTTGGTGTTACTTCCAAGTGTTTCAAAAGTCTGTTCTTTTAAGTGTTGTAGGTTACTCAGGCCTCCTAGCATCTGTTTACCAGTTTTTATAACAAGCCTTTCTTTTATACCTAGTGCAAGGATGAAATTTACACCAAAAAAAAAAAAAAAAAAGATCATTTGTTAAGGTCCTAATAAACGACGCCTTATGACACATCTTACAAAAACAATTTCCTTAGGTTTTATTATTTTAAAGATTTCTTTCCAATTACATTTTATCGTGGCTTTAAGGAATAAGAGTGCTATTTCATGGTGATTAGAAGTGGATTGGGGCAGAGAAAAGGCAGAACTGAACTGAGAGCAATATGCATTTGCCATAGAAAGCACTTGATTGGTATTCCAAGAACAACTGTCTGTTATTTAAAGGTAGCTCAGTCAAAAAGCAATAGCCTTTCAATCATATCAAGGAGGCAGCCGCATGCTTGGTATTTATCAGGCGAGTTCCATCACTTCTGAATTTGCAAACCATATCAGTCTACTAGGTCTCGGGAAGCTGTTGGTGAAAGAGTTTACTGTTTCTAAACATACATGTCATCCCCCTTTAAAAACAGTCCACCAAGAAGGTGAGTCACTCCCAAAAGATTGGTAACATCATTTCAGAGAGCTGGCTCACCTTCAGCCCTTCTAAATGCACACAACTTTGCTTTGCTTTGCATTACCTTTTCTTTAATGGCACCAGGGAACAATCGTTAAGACCAACTAGCAAAACTGTCTATTTGGTAAGGCCATGCTGATGGCATCCTTCATCTCTGGCTCATTTTTTCCAGGACGGAGGCAAAGGTGTCCTTTCAAAGACAGGTCTCCCTGGATATGCTGACTGTGGAAGAGTCATACTCTTTCATTGCCACTGAGCTTCTGGCTGTAGGTTCACCCATCCATCAGAAGATGCAGGAAGGAGAAGAAAAGGGAACACAACATTCTCCCACAAGTAAGATACTGTTGCGCTTTCAGAAGTGTTTAAGTATCTTTGTTTCATTGAAAACAAAGGTAATATAAGCTAAATGTAAGTGAAACAGGCAAGTTAATTCATCCCTTTGGGCTTGAGCTTTCTATTAAATAAAACAGGAGCATCAGACTAGGGGATGGTTAAGCTCTTTGAGGATAACATCGTACCATCAGATGAAAATGATTATTGGAGCAGGGTGTTTGCCGGTGAATGAAACAGAGCTGAGAGCATGAAGGTGGAGAGGAAGGAGGGGGTTAGATGTGTTCAGCTGTTTCTATGGGTAGGATCTCTCCCAAAAGTTCTATGTCTATGATTTGT